TACTTGCTATACTTATTAACATAATCCCCATTGACTCACCTCCATGTCAATATCCATTTTGTTTTCATTTCAGGTTGCTAACGATGGCCACTTTCCAGTCCGGATATGTGAGCGGTGTCACATGGGAGTGGCAGCGACTGTGGATCTCATTGACCGGATGGTTGAAGGGCAACAAAGATTGCGGTCAATGCTGCAGGTATTCTTTTAAGACTAGGATAGTTTGAGTTGTGAATGCACACCTATAAAAGTGATGTTTTAGATACTCAATTTCAAAAATTCTCTGATGGTAAGATTGCTTTGGTCAATTGAGACTCATTACCTTTAATTGTTAATACATATATGCTTGACATTTGTTGTATAACTACAAACACTATGTTTTACCTGTTAAACATTTCATTCTTTCAGTCTGGGACAGTCCCTGACGTACTTCAGGCTACTCTTATTAATATCCAAGGGATTCAGTAGATATACCCATGGATGATTTAGCAAAAGGTAAATTAAAAGTCTTATTTGTTATCATGATTTAATTTGCTTTATGGAGAAGTCTTGGTTGCAATTACCATGTTTATAATCTTTCAATTAGATGAAAGAGAACAAAATTTAAGAATTTGTTGAAAATAAGAAAGGAAACCATTGAGTTAGGAATAAGTCACTTGCCAAGAGCTGATAGAAACATATTGGTAATTATCAAGAGATTGTTAAACACTGTATGTGTGTGTTCATACTGCTCCTTTATGGTAGATGATATTAGGTTAATATCCTAAACCATTCAAATTTTAGAAATATTTATAGCATACTTTTTCAGGAACTGAAGTTGCAAAAGTATATGCAGAAACCATCCCATGAGTATAGCTGTGGATGGCCAGCCAGTTGTTAAAAAGAAAAGGGGACGACCACGGAAAGGAGATGTAATTTCATCTACTGGTTTTGTATAGACTTTTTCCTTATGAGCTTGATCTTATTTTTTATTTAAGATTTTTTTCTTTTCTTTTGTGTGTGTGTATGTGTGTGTGTGTGTGTGTGTGTGTGTGTGTGTGTGTGTGTGTGTGTGGTGTGGTGTGTGTGTGTGTGTGTGTGTGCGTGTGTGTGTGTGTGTATGTGTATGTGTATGTGTATGTGTGTGTATGTGTGTGTATGTATGTATGTATGTATGTATGTATGTATGTATGTATGTGTGTGTGTGTGTGTGTGTGTGTGTGTGTGTGTGTGTGTGTGTGTGTGTGTGTGAAGGGAAAGAGGGAATTTTGTTTGTATCATCTAAGTTTTAGTAGATTGCTAGAATATTGTTGTAAACACAGAACTTTTTTTGAAAACTACTGCAGTTAGAAATGTAAGGTAAACATGTAACTGTATTACCTAGCCACTTCTAGAAGGTTGCTATACTACTTTTTATCAATCTAATACTCCCTTAAGCAGATATAAGAATTTAGATATATTCCACATATATTCATGTATAGGCCACTGGATAACAGATTTATTTCCACTCTCTCTGGAGCAGGCTCAGTGTCATTATATGAATAATACGTCCAACTTTTATGTATGACCACAAGAAATGAATTTAAACATTTAATAGAATTACTTTTTATACAGTGAATCCTCATCTCTGACAAGTGTGTTTATTCCCCTTGGAATTGCAAAATTTATAGACCATGGTCCATGTTACTTCGTTCATGTCACACAGAATTCAGTAATTTTAACATAATGTTAATTTCGCCTACAATTGTTCATCACGGTGTCTAAGCATTACCACAGTTGAATCTGAACTGGGGCGCAAGTGCCTCACAGGCACCCAGGCCTCTCTTGACTCTGCTGACCCAGCACTGAGCACACTGGTGCCCTTGTTTACAGGACCTGTAGATTATCACCCCTATGTCCCCAGGACAAAGTGTCTATAGTGCCTTGTAAACCTTGTAAAACATTAAAGGCCTATCCCCTCCATGGGATTAACACCACACTCTGTAGCTTCAATGGAATGAGTTCCCTTGAACTACATCCATCTACCATACAACCACTGGAAAACCATTTCCATGGTGTATAATGGTCTCCCTGGATCAGGATTACCTTTAAAAACATTATTATTATAAGTCGGGCTGTGGCAAGTGCATTTATTAGTGTCTAACTATTTGTTAAATAAAGAATCATAATACATTTGCCACCACAGTTAAAGCTAAAGCTTTGTCATCACTTTTCTTTCAATTCCTTGATTTAGATAATGGTTTTTGAGATATGCAGCACACAGACCTTCCCAGGATTACATATCCCTTTACACACATCCATGATGCAAAATATATTTTAGAATACAGTAAATACAAGAATCATGTTTCTATCACAGAGACCTGTTAAGCAAAAGGTGAAGGAGGAGGAGTCTAGCCTTTTAGATGATGATGATGTTAAGAAAGGAAGACCAAGAAGGTCTAACAGGAGAGCAAATCTGCCCACAAGGTTAGTACTTTCAGAAAGGCATATGATAAAAAAATTAAGATAAAGTTGCTTTTGATTTTTAAAAAGTTATGCTGCTCTCATCTTTTGGTGGGCATATAAATACAATTTTTTTTTTTTTTTTTTACACAAGAAAGTTTGATGGGGTATATTAATATGAAAATATGGTTTTTTTTTTACACAAGGAAATTTGATGTATGTACCTAAGTAATTTCAACAGTTAATGGTAGATGATTATGGTTTTATTTGTAAAGTGAGTCGGTTTGTGTTATTTTACAGTTTAATTGACTTTACCATTTGCCTTTTGTTTGAAGGAATGTCTGAGATAATAATAATCATACCAGCCACTCATTTCATTTCCATTTCCAAAGGAAGATGCTGAAAATGATTTCATATGTTTTATCAGGTATAGGGACTCCATTGCTGGAAGAGATTTTGAGAAGCTAATGAGCGAGTCGGGAGTAAAAGAGGAGATAATGGAGGTGCAGGATGATGCTAGTGATGCTGACTACAAGCACCAGGGTCTGTCTGGACCGTCAATGCTGGAAGTCATGGAAAAACAGGGAGGTTTAAGAAATCCCAAGGAGGGTGCTCTTGGCAAGGTTTCAGAAGATGGCACTAGCATTGTCATTGCCCCCGAGTCCTCTGAAGCCCCATCTGATCTTCCAGTATCTGTAAACATCGAGGTTGACTTCCAGGATGGTATGAAATGCACTCACAAGTGTTAATTCTATTTTTTTACTTTATACATATATACACTTTATGATTATAAACAATGAATGTGTGTGCTTCAGACTGATTAGTGTTTCCTTAACAGATGGTAATATCACCTTAAGAGGAATGGAAGAATTAGATGAAAAGGAAAAACTTCCTCTTGCATCTGTGAGCTCTGTTCAGGTATTTCATATGATCTTTGTTGAGCCATTAGCACTGGGTACATAATGTGACCACTTTGGTTTTGTTTTATTAATTGTGTTTAAAAATAGATAGCTTCACAAGTACAAAGTCACCAAGAGGTCAACTATTAGGTCTATGTAATTTCACTTATTTGCGCTGTTGACCTGTTAGATCCAGGTGCCTCTCAGCCTGCTTGTGGACCAAATCTGGCCAAAAGGCTTACTTGATTGGTGACTCTGTCAGTTGTGTAGCTTGTCAGCTTGGCCTTCATTACTTCCTCTTTCATTCTCCCTTTTTAACTCCTGCTTCCTCTCTCCATTTTCCTTTCCCTCTCCCTCTACATTCCCTTTCTTGTTCTGCCACTCCTTCTCACATCCAAATATTCCTTAAATTCTTTCCTCTCTTCCCACTTTAATTTGTTTGATCTGGTTGCGTCACGGCGATCACATGGCTGAAAATATGTTCAGTGGGTTACATAAGTGGCCGCTTTACTTGGTGTGCGGCATGTAGGATGGGCGTACATGAACACTCGTGTGCAGTGACAAAACTCTATACTCTAAAAGCATAAACTTTTTTAGCTGTTTTGCCATTTTCCAATGCCCATATTTGCCTTTTGATTTGCTTTATTCAGATTATTTTACTTGCACAGACTCTATATCATCTCTTTATGTAATAAATGACAGTGCAAAAGAAAAGAAATATGTATCATTTCATTTTTTGTGTCATACATTTTATTTTCTCATAATTTTCAACTTTCCATAATGCAACCTGTGCTGCTGGTCACTGCAGCCAGGAATATGATGCTGAACATGGAAATGGCATTCTACCTGGAGCTGGCGCTCTTCCAGTTACACACGTTACATTCTACACCTGTTTATCAATGGGAATAATGCAAAAGCCCTCTCTAAATTCCAAATGAGTCTAACCACACTCCAAGAGGTTTGCGCACTCAAGGCAAGTCTTTTCTATCCCCTGGCCTTCGCTCATGATGGAAAGTTTGTGCCACCCAGCCTGAAGCCATTTTGTCCCATGACAGCAAGTTCACATCACCCAGTTCTCAACCCAAACTTTTCCATGACGGGACAGTCAAGTCACCTGGATCATAGGAGTTAAACCCTCCATCTACCCAACTACTTCCCTCCTCTTTCTCTCTAACCTCCTTCACCTCCTTTGCTTGCTTTGCTCCATTACTTCATTATTTTATTATTATTATTATTATTATTATTAATTATTATTATTATTATATGCGATCATGATTAAACACTGCAACAATAATAATATAAAAATTCAAGGAATGGGGTAGACAGTGAGATCAGATGTCAAGAAAATAAATAAAACATTATCAACCAGTGAAAATAAAATTGTTAGTAATACAGATTTATATAACTATATGTATATTTATTATGTTGTATTAACATTAAATGTCATATAATAAGATGTAAGATCTTTTGTGAGGGGTAATTATTAGAAAGAAAGGTATTTAAATCAATCTTTTATAAATGAATTTTATAAGCTATGATAACAGCACAGTAAAAATGAATAGTCTGCATGGTATCATAGCAATAACATTTCCCACAGACATTTTATGCCAATATTTTTATTGTTTGTAAGAAAGCCAAATATCCTGAGGATGCACAATTTAAGACGAAGAATATTCATCACAGATTACCAGCATGGAGAGTCAATCAACATGCCTTCCAAAGCTGCATTTAGTGAGCCTACACTCTTCAGAAAGAAACGAGGTGCCAAGAAGAAGGCAAAGTGGTCATGCAACATATGTGGCAAAGGGTTTCTTCATAAGGGAAGATATCTTCTCCATACGTGAGTCATTCTTATTTTTGTTCTGTATTTTAGGTGTGTTGTTAAGATTGTTTCCAAGGAATGGGTTAAATGTTTTAATTGTTTTCTTACTAATGTTGATTCTTAGAAGCATGGTCAATCTTTTCCAGTCGACTTCACAAGCAGGTGATTCTGCAATGTGAGATGTGTAAAGATAGATTTTCTACTCGAGAAGATATCAACATTCACCAACAAGATACAGGACACACAGGATTAGGTAAGATATCTAAGAACATTTATCATAAGAAATGCTTACGGTTAAGGTAGTAGAATGGGAGCATCATCAACCCATTGATGCCAGAACATACAAGGCCCACTATGGTTCACTTTCACTATTTTATATATGTGTAGATGGCTTCACAAGCACCTGAACACCAGGGAGTCAGTTAACCCACTTTTGACTGGTACCTGAGTGCAACACCCTTATTTCCTAGTGGTATCTATAGCAACAAGTTCAGGCTACTAGGGTTCTGTGTGTGTGTCTCTGCTTTGAGCCACACACATTGAGCAACCCAATCATAGAGCAAGCATCCCCTTTTTTCATGGACTCATGCCACATGTCATTTGCTTATTCTATCTTTTAATCACATTTTGATATGTATATAAATTAAGGGATTGTGGATTTACTTTCTTTGTACTTATTCAATTTTAAAAATTAATAGTTAACTTGGCAAATGACTATGCTGTATAGCAAGTGGTGAGGTCTAGGCAATATAAACACTGGGCAAAACGACATAGAATTATTCAGTATCAATAAATGAAAGTGATATATGATTATGAACTTCTTGCTGGCTGTTCCTTATGCTAATAGAATTAGCATTTTCATATAAATGTTCTACTGATATCCCTGTAGAGACATTTTGAGTCAATGTGAAGGTACATGTCCTCCTCTCACGAGCACCAGGTGGTCAGTGAGAGCTGTACTCATATCTTTTGCTCTTTTTTCACTTATTTTCATTAGTTATCATCCAGCTTTGTAATTGGCTATCATTATTTATAATAAAGAAATATAATCTTCATATGCTCCATTTGACAGTAAAGGAAACATGGAAGTCACATATGATACTCGTATTTTGATATTTGAAATTCTTCAGTATAACACCTTGTTTAAGGTCAGATTCATAGTTACAGAAAAAAATCTGCAGTTTCTGCAGCCTTCCGAATATGTTTTCCAGATATCAGACAAATTTCTGTAGAATTACAGCCCAGTGTAACACTTTAACCATCAAGGGAAATTGAATCTTCTGCTGAAACAATCCTGGGCTTTTATCAAGTAGCAGTTTCGCAAAGCTGAATCATTGTTAGCAATTGTTTTCCAGTAGATCACTACAGTAGTAGTTTTAGTAGTAGTAGTTGTAATAGTATTAGTAGTAGTGTTTGTAATAGTAGTAGTAGTAGGAGTGGTATTAGTAATAGCATCATCCCCATCATCATTATTACTGCTATCATTTTATTAATGTTGATATCAGTTATAATACTCAGAAAAACAAAACAAAAAAATCTGAAAATTCAAGGAGTGTGGTAAATGGATGAGTGCAGGAATGAATATTAAACTACTGGGTCTGGGTGCGTTTTGCCTGGTGCCTCGCCTCTTGTATGTGGACAAAATTCTCAATTAGGCTTCCTTGAGTGGCAACTCTCCTAAGTGTAGGCTTAGCCCACACAGTCATGTATGGTATCAAGATATCAAGACTACTTTCTTCCTCTTTCCAGTGATATTAGCCCTTTTTCTGCAGAAGCATTTTTGCTGTTTTGCTATTTTTTGAGGTCTGTATTTGACATTTATTATGCTACATCAAGGTGGTAATATACTGTTTTCATTGAGCAGACTCCATATTATCTCTCCAGGTAATGTACACCCTATGTAATAACAGTAGCAATAAGTGGCTGTGTTGTTTGTGCTATTTTTGTATTTGTTCATATTATTCAGTTTCTATAACACACACTACACAACAAATAACAGGCGGCAGGAATAGGTTGATGTGGATATAGTGCCCTCCCTGGAGAAGGTCCTCTTCTAGGCACGGCTCACTAGTGGTTTACTTCACCCTCGTGGACTGGTGTAAATCCTGCTGAAACTGGAGTTGGAGCTTATGAATAAGCCACTCCCTGAAGGCCTGTTGAATCATTTTCCCTCCAAGTGTGTTGTACACTCATGACATCACCTGCCACTCAGCAGCAATTTCCCAAGGGAAGACATTCCTGACACCTGCCTCAGAGCCATGACAAGAAGTTCTCATGACCCATTCCTAGGCCAAATTTTTTCATGACAAGACATCCCTGTCACCCAGATCCAGTGGTTTAATTGACTCCATAGTAACTAAAGCACTTTTGGAATCATTAGGATGTAAAAAAAAAATTAAACATAAATTGATATAACAAAAAAATTTGACCAGTGCATGTGTATGTACAAGTCCCTTGTCAGAGGGTTAATTTTGATCTTGATATATGACACTAAGCATAAACTTTCAGTGATTGTTTTTTCAGTATTATATAGCTTTTTTATAGGGAGATATATAATTTAATCTTTTAGTGAAATGAGTTCAGGGTATTTATAGGTCTAAGAGTGTAAGTCTAGAAAATCAAAGAAACCTGCTAGTTGACTTGCACAGTTCAGTGGTCAGACAGAAAATGTACATGGAGGTGCTTGTCTTTTTTTTGTATTATTATTTTGTTATTTTGTTTTCTAGGAATCATAGAAGTGGAGAAAGAGGGTGAGCAGGTTGAGTTTAAATGTCCTCATTGTCCAAATCGAACCTTTGTGACCTCAGAAGGTTATAATGTAAGTGTGTATTCTTTTGTTTTGGTCATTTTTGGCTTGAACAAGCCAACAATTTCATGATAAATAGTTAATTATTTTGATACACTTGTTGGTAATCTGTAAGGGATGTTATATGAAAATCAGATAACTTCTTTACCATTGTTCATATGTTTATATAAGTGTAGATTTTAAAAGGTTCAGTTTTTATAAGATTGATTACACAAAACACATCATATCATTGAAAATGTACTAAATTATATATTTTTTTTCTACAAATAATAAAACATTACATTTAATTTCCAGAATCATGTTGCAAGCATGCACGAAGGTCAGAAACCATATGCTTGTGCCACTTGTGGAAAACGGTTTACTTATCAACATAGCCTTCGTAATCATTATGCATTACATGAGGTATTTAATGACAGATTGAAATTTAGTTAAATGTTTCAGGTTTGTGAAATGATTAATTTTGGATATTACCTTTCATACTGCAGTCAGGATATCAAAAGCTTAAATTTATGACTTCAGATTTTCAAGTTTGCAAAGGGAGTTACTACTGTTTTTTTGTGAAAGGTTAGCCTTGTACAGGATATAGCCAAAAGTCAAAATGAGGCAGATATGTGAATAGATAACAAGTTTGTGCTTTTGCTGCATGGGATGAATTTTATCATTCATTGCTTTTCCAGCCACCCAAAGAGGAACGAGAATATCCTTGCCCTACATGCGGGAAAGTATTCACACATCCAAGCTCACTCATCTATCATCGAGATTCAACACACAATAATGGGCGCATGTTTGTGTGCCACATTTGCAATGCATCTTTCAAGCACAAGCAACTCCTTCAAAGACATTATAGCGTTCATTCTGAAGAGAGGTAAGTTGGATTAATTATATATTATATTACATTATATTTTCTTTTCATGGTTGAATATTTGTAAACGGCAGCTATGTACCAGATTTTTCACCACACAAGCTCCATTTTTTTACCCTAAAGAATTGATCAAAAATCACTAGCATCCTGTGATGAGCAGGGACCTTCTGGGTAAGGCCAGTGGATGATGAAAGCTCAGCTATGCAGATTCCTTTGGCTGAAATCCATCGAAATCAATGACATGAATAATGTAATTACCATAAGTTTGTAGCCCTTCATGCCATGAGATTGGAGAGTGAAACAATGCATTGTAAAGAAACACTTTGGGTTAGTAAAAATGTGACTTTCTTTTATCTGATTTTATTTGCAGGGACTCTGTTTTATGACTCATAGATCCTGAGGGAGATAAGGAATAGTATACACTAAACCTGAACTTTATGGAAGTTTATGAAAGGGAAAAACTGGTTGTTGAGTTTTAGGAAGATGCTAAGCATTGTTGATATGGTTTTATGCACATTCTCCCTAGGAGAGTGTTTCTGAGTATACGATTGCACTTTTCATATATGATTTTTGCCCCACTACCACATATTAGCTCCTGAAAAGTTTCTGGTGCATAAAAATTGTAGACATTGAACAGAGAATAGCTAACCCGAGATTCAGGAAATTGAATTATTAACACCAGAGTTCTTATATATATATATATCTATATCTATCTATCTATCAAGAAAATTTAGTTTTCAACAGGTTAGAAATAATTTTTTACATTCTCTTTTTTTGCAGACCATACCCATGTGAAATATGTCACACAGCCTTTAAAACCAGAGGAAATTTGTACAACCATATGAATACCCATACTGGCCTTAAGAAATTTACTTGTGAAATATGTGGAAAGCAGTTTAATCACTTGACATCCCTTACGCTTCATGTTAGATCTCATACGGGTAAGAATCTTACCCAGTTTGGTTTGTGATTTGTATCATGTACAACTTTATTATGAATAATGAAATATTAGGTAAAGCACTAGATTTCTCCATATTTTGTGTTTAGCCTTTCTTTGGAATGTAATTTTATGTATATGCATAGATATACAATCATCTTCTACTTTTTTAATAGGTGAGAAGCCCTTTAAGTGTGACCACTGTGATAAAAGGTTTACCCAGAATGGCAACCTTCAGGAGCATAGAAGAATTCACACTGGAGAAAAGCCATACTGTTGTGAAAGTTGTGGCAAGAAGTTCACAACTTCATCTCAGGTATATATATACTTTTTTCATGTTGCTTTTTTATCGTCATCATTTTGATCACCCATTGATTCATTGATTATGAATGTCCCAAGAGGGTCACTAAATAGAATTATACATCTCCCCATTCCACCCCAAAAATGGCACACATTGTTCATGTGCATTTCATTTTTCTTTCCATTTGTATGATAAGATTTGAAATTGATAAAGGTGAAGATGAGTTGCACCTTACTAAATTTATTTTTCTTTTTAAGCTGTGAGAGATTGGAAACAGTCAGTATTATTTCATAATTTACTATCATTGTCCCTTCTTGGAAGCTGCAGTTGAATATGAAAACTTGATTGTTTTATTAGTGTTATTTCATTTGCATATTGAATTTGGCTGTGTGGACCTATATGTCTAGGACAGAAAGATCCAAAATGGGTCGATAACTCTATTTGTTTTGGTTACCACAAACAGGTGGCTGTAGAACCCTGCTGTCAATGGTGCAGCTTCTATTGCACTCTTTTATCTCAGTAGCTGGTATTCTAAGTCCAATGCCTTGCACTTTTTGGAATCTGGAGAATATTTCTCAAATAACTAATGGCTCTCATATGAAAAGACGTAGGGTGGAAGAAGGGATCATGTATCCTTCTTTGAGAACAGACAGGACCCAGTCCTCTTTGCCTATGTTCATCCACCCTTCATGGTTCCAGGCAAGGCATCTTGCTATTCTGTCTGCAGTTGTTTGCTGGTTCACTTGTGAAAAAAATTGTCCATAATCCTCTTGGGGGAGAGGTAGGACCTGGTTTTGATTCTGTTGTGTTGTCCTTTTCTGTGAAGACATTGAAAGGATGAGTTAGACCAATGAGACAAGGTACTGGAACCCCATTCCAGCAATGGAGTACTTGGTGTTGCCACCTGCTTGAAGGAGATAGAAGCAGTCTTATCTGTCATCTTGAGTGCTTCCTTTACCTATAGATGACACATCCTCAGGTCCAACTTAGATACAGATTTGTAAGTTGGTGGGAGATGTGAACATTATGGATATAGTCTCATGTCTTAATGTTGGCTAATGCAAAGTAGAGTCTATAGTCATGTCTACCATGACCATAATTATGCTCTTAAACAATTACTCTTCATCATCCTGTTTTCTGATCCAGGTTATAGGGAGCAAAGAAGTAACCTCCCATATAGCAAAAGGTGAAGCCTCTCATAAGTGCGCTAAGACTCCCTCTAGCCAGTTCAAGTCTGCATGCTGGACAACAACCTGAGGTTCTTTACCCCTGGTGGTGAGGGCAAGGGCCAAGTCAGTGTTCAACTTGGCTACTTGACTTGAGGTTTCATGGCCACTAACTACAAAGACCTTCCATTATAAAGTTGACAGGTAGCAGATAACAAAGTTTAGAAGGACTCATTGTCTTGAATGAGTAAAGACTAAACTACAAAATAGGACTTGTTAGCAACTTGATGACTCTCTACATCTCTGCTACCATGTCAGACATTATATCAGAAAAGGATAAATACTGTAGGTATTTAGAAAAAACAAAGCTCTGAAATGTTATTAAAGTTTTTGCTCATCTCCACAGGAGCCACATAAGTAGGCAAAGAGGATTGAGAGATGGAGTCCTCTGGTCCGACCGAACCAGACTGAATCGTGTCCTGTGAAACCCCTAGTGAACATATGGTTAACTTACCAACAGACTTTGATGCCTTCCTTTTGACTTTGCAGCCTATTTTCCGTTATAAAGTTTGCTGGTACCCAAAAGCACTATGAACCACCTCGAAGCTCCACTCAGCACTCTCGGAGCAGTGCTGAGTACAAATACCAATACATACAGAATGAAGATCGTTGAAGGCACTATCACAAGCTCGCCTGCAACCTGAAACCATGCAGATTCTCCTGATAGCACGTGGATCAGTAGATAAGGTTGAGAAAAATCCAGGTGAAGGGCTCGTCTATCACCTTCGACTCATTGGCCATTAAAAACTGCGGGTGGCAGGAAAGGCTTTGAAGGCTACCTTCCTGCTCTGCCGGAGTCTCCACAATAATCATTTGCATATCATTATAGTTCAGCAAAGTCAAATTTGACAAACTAATGGAAAACAGCTAGGCAAATTATAAGAGCACTGTTACAAAGAAGTGTCTAAAGAATGAATGACAAGCACATACGCAGGAAAACAGGGTTACCAACACAATTAATAGCAGGGTTGCCATAATAGCAGAATACGACTTCAAATTGTTAAATATGGGAATGTAGACACAGCTGGGTAGTATGATCATTGGTAATGCTAGTATAAAAAACAGCTAAGTGAAAAAAATCATTTTAAGTATGAAAATGCAATTTTGTTATAATTCCATTGTCTTCTGTAGTTGTCACATTTTTAATCTTTTTATTTTACAGAAAAGCATCCCTTTGTGATTGTTTTGAAAGATTTTGTAGGAGTACAAAAAAGGTTTATTTGTATATTCATATATATTTTATCAGAAACTTGAGAGAAAATAGATGCCAATCTTATGTGATGATTAGATGTAAAATTTTCTTGCATATTTAGTAACTTTCACTCAGTTTGCAGAGGCTTGCCCCCTTTTGGTGTTGTTGTTGTTGAGATATGTTGTTACTGTGAATTTACATAAACTATATATTGCTTTTTATATGTAAATGTGTACCCTCACCCTTTATTCAACCTTGAAACTTGGAGTACTTCATGTGATTTTTACAAACATACACACAAGTAAAAATAAGTGAATAAATAAGTGTATAAAACCCTGAAAAAGTAAGCAGTTATATTATAGATTATTAGAGAAAATATATAAAGTTATTATTTCTTAAAAAGGTGTAAAAAGTAGACTACTGGCCTGAAAAATACTACCATCTAAACCTATTCATTCACCCACAATAAATCAGATGACTCTGAAATTTGTGTCAAAGGAAAAGAAAAATCATGAAAAAGAAACCCAGTGACTACATGTGGCCAAAATGAATGCCATGCCCACTGTAGATTTGATTTATTACATGTGTTTACAGAGATGGCTCCACGAGTGCTTAGTCACCATGGAGTCATTAATTAGTTCTATTTATCTCACCAGTTTACCATTTTCCTTGATTTTGGGAGATTTTTTCATTAGGACGGTGTTTCACGTATGGTAGCAGCATCCAATTTCTCATGGTTAGGTGTATGGCTCACAGAAGAATACGCGCATATAAACGTTATTTCTGGGTAATGAGCACAAACCTAACCCAACCAAATGTAACATTATCTTCTCGTGTTGAGATGCTGCCACCTTGTTTGTTTCACCATGCATGTGCAGAACACCAATAAGAGGCTTTTCTGCCATACTCTTTGTTACTTTCTTTTTATTATTATGGTTATTAGTATGTTGATACCTTTGAGATAATCATAATGTCAATAATGATATTAAGTGTTGCAGTAGTAATAGCATTAGAAAAAAAATCCTGCAAATTCAAGGAATGGGGAAACCATCCACAGTCATTAGAGCTTATTAACTGACTCCAACAAAATTCATAAATTACTATAGTGGACAGTACATACTCACTTCTGCTTCTTTTTTTATTATCAATGATAACTGAATAATATCCTCTAACATATATTATAGTGATGAGCAAGTCTCTTCTAGACACCACCTTTGTGTCATCCCCATACTCCCTTCTCCTTGTAGGTCTTCCTCTCCTTTAGCCACGAATCCAAATCATGTCCCTGGCCGCTCTTCTCTTGTGAATATAATATAGTAAATGTAAAGTAATAATTCTGGTACTATATTGATATATTTCATACTGCCAAAGCCCCTGATCCTTTCCTCTCCCCCAGTCCCCCTCCACAGACCATATTCTTACTTATCAAAGATTTTCCAGTTTCTATTTGTAGACCTAAATATATCAAAACATACAGTTTATTGGTATATATGATAATTTATTTAATTTTGCTTTTATGTATTTAATTTGCAAGTTGCAATTTATTTCCATTTTCATTCTTAATCGAGGGATAACCTTAATAACTTAAAAATGTAATGCTGCCTGTGTGACAATGTATGACAATGATAAATGCATTTTTTGGCGTGTAAAATCAGGCCTCTGAAATACCAGAGACCAACCAGCAATTTCCTTGATGAAACTTGAAACTTCAGGCCTGTTTTGTTGCTGGGGAAACAACAACCTGGAAATTTTGCAGTGTAAAAGTAAATAGAAAAATAAATTTGGGAATTGTTGTGCAGTATGGCATATATTGTCAGTGGACATCTAGCTAAACAGAAAAGAATTAGCACAAAGTAATTTGCATTTACATATTTATGGTTCTTAGATATTATAGTGAATATAAGTTTAATTGATTTTATATACATTTCACATTTAAAAGTATGTATACTGTTTGTTTTTAAATTGAATGATCTTTACAAAAAAAAAACTTCTTCAACAGTTTAAACTCCACATGAGAAGGCATACAGGAGAAAGGCCATTTGCCTGCACGTACTGCAACAAGGCTTTCCTGCACCGAGAGGCATGGCGCACACATGAGAGGAAGCATAGCGGAGAGAAACCTTATGTGTGCAAAACCTGTAATAAAGGTTTTACAGAGCAATATACACTCAGAAAGCATCAGCGCTTGCATACAGGTACTTCTATTAGCCATAAGGCAATCTGCATTATTATATTTTGAAAATTTTGATTGCATATATTTCTTGATTTTTTATTTCTTTCATTCTTTCTTTCTTTCATTCCTGGATATTATTGAATTAGTACATCTTGTCTTTGTTAGTTTTTTGTACAGGAGAAAAGCCTTATATATGCAATGTATGTGGAAAAGCATTCAGCGATACCTCCAACTTGCACAAACATCGCAGGTGTCATAGAGAGGACGAAGCTTGGCTACTTCAAGAACCTGGAACCATTGAAACAACAGAAGGAGATCATCGTATCATTTATATTTTATCTGACAAAGATGAACCTGATGCAGCAACTCTTACAGCACTACAGGCTGTGGTAAGGACATTTTATTCAAAGAAAGAAGGGATTAAGGTTCTATGTCCTTAGAGCAGTGAGATATCTTTTTTCTTTTTTCTTTAGTTTTTAGGTGAGAGAAACTTAAGCAATCTCTTCTAACAGGACACTGAAATGGCCGAGAATTCCCACCTGGAGAACATGACAGAAGGAGCAGCACAAATGATCCAGCTTAATCCCGACAGTCAGACCCTGCAGGGCTTTGCACTCGCGACATATGACCAGCCATCCACGGCAGCAGTCATGCTCCAGGAGGGGGGAGGACAGGAGTCAGATAGACGAATTCAGGTTTGTGGATACTAAGTAAATGACACCCATCAGATTTCAAAGCCAGGGAAGTGACTGGTAATAAAATTTCTCTCTCTCTCTTGCTCCCTCGCTCTCTCTCTCTCTCTCTTTCTCTCTCTCTCTCTTCTCTCTCTTCTCTCTCTTCTCTCTCTTCTCTCTCTTCTCTCTCTTCTCTCTCTTCTCTCTCCTCTCTCTCCTCTCTCTTCTCTCTCTTCTCTCTCTTCTCTCTCTCTCCTCTCTCTCTCTCTCTCTCTCTCTCTCTCTCTCTCTCTCTCTTCTCCTCTCTCTCTCTCTTCTCTCTCTCTCTCTACTCACTCACTTTCTTTTTTCCTCTCTGAGTGTGGAGTGATTTGTGTGTGTGTGTGTGTGTGTGTGTGTGTGTGTGTGTGTGTGTGTGTCTGTCTGTGTCTTGTGTCTGTGTCTGTGTGTCTGTGTGTGTGGGGGGGGGGGGGGGGGGTGAGTGTGTGAGTGAGTGAGTGTGTACATGTGTACAGCTACACAGAAAACTACCATTAGGAGGGTGTCGAAACATTCAGTAACGAACAGAACCTTATGCTACGGAAGAATTGGAAGTTTAGGAAGTTTGGGTTTCAAGTTTGTCTCGTTCAGAGTCACATCTCAAATAGTCATTCTGGAATTCATATTGATTCGCTGTGGGATGATGATTTCCTTCCAGTAAAGGATGGAATATGCCATGTAATACTCCAGTAAACCCAAAAGTAGTTGGAAAATCTGGGATACCAACAGTTTCATAGTATCAACAACTGTATTTCAAAAAGTATCATTGCGGTGTAGCATTACATGTGTGTGTGTGCGTGTGTGTGTGTGTGTGTGTGTGTGTGTGTGTGTGTGTGTGTGTGTGTGTGTGTGTGTGTGTGTGTGTGGTGTGTGTGTGTGGTGTGTGTGTGTGTGTGTGTGTGTGTTGTGCGCGCGCGCGCTTACATCAGTGAAATGTGATTTTAACATGCACTGATTTTTCTTTCAGATTTTTACAAATGATGAAGGACAGTCAGTAATTCCGGTCATCAATTCTTCAGGAGAAGCCATTGGGGAAGTGGAAGGCCATTTTTTGACAGGGGTGAGTTCACTTCTGATATGCTTTCTTTAGGAACTTGCCTTATCTAAATGTATTCATTAATAACAAATACCTTTCTGTATACAAGAATTACCCTAAGCTCTTGAAATTGGTAGCTTCTGACATACTCAGTATGTTTAATTGGTTTGCCATTATTATTATTATTATTGGCATTAAAATTATACAGTTATTAATAGTACTCATGGCAAAAAAATATTCAAAAATCAAGGAAAAAGTTAAACTGGTGAGATATGGCAGACTAGTGATTGATTCACCAGTTACTAAGCACTTGTGGAGCCATTTATTTGTAAATACTATTAATGAATTAAACTCACTCAACATGGCAGGACATCCCTGCCGGCATCAGTTTAAATGAGACAAAAAATACTTTATAATGATAAATATTTGTTAAAAATTATTTATCTTTCAAGGAACAAACACTTGGGTAAACATAATAATAATGAATAATGAAATACATAGTGGGTTCTTTTATATATGACTTATGCAAATTCATATTACCAAAAGTATTTTCACATTAACCTCAGTGTTTCATTAAGAATCCTTAGTCTGCCAAAACTTCTTCTTCAAGTATCCCACGTGGATGGTAAATTAGAAAACTGACTACTATTAAGGGGTTAGCAGATAATTAACTTTTTATTGTCTGTTTCAGTCGGATGGAAACACAAACGTAAGCAACCTGAGCAACAGCAGTACGCTTGAGATTACGCTGAAAGATGGACAGCCACTCAGCCTGGTAATTCCAGATGGAGAAGATCCCACGCTCTATGTACAACGGGCTTTGGAGTCGGCTGTCTTGTCCCAGCAGCAGTCCTCCACACAGCAGAAGCCACAACCTAAGCAAACACAGCATCACCGTCCGCATCACACCCAGCAGCAAGAAAGTCATTCACAGTCCGAATAAAAACATATTGTCAGCTATGAGGACTCTTGCTTGACAGCGAGCACCTGATTAAGAAAGAAAAATTAAAGCAGCTATTCAACATTTTATTTATGTGTATGTTTGTATTTTTATATAGATATAAACACATTTTCCTGAGAAAAGTCTTGGTGGCTAAAGTTAACATGACAGATCTATGCAACAAGTATGGTAATGTAAGCATGATGGATTAACCCACTTGATGGGTTAAGGCTTAACTGTGCTTCTCCAATGGATTTTTGTACATAATTTTTTTTTCATTTATGGAAGTAAGAAGTAGCTGATATGACAAGAAATAGGAGAGGACAAGTAAATTAAAGATTGTTTTTCGTATGTGTAATTTTGTTATGTGCATATGCGTGTGCATGTCGGAAAAGAGAAACTGCTTTGTAAAATGAGGAGATTTTGTGGGATGAATGGAATTATAATATAAGTGATTTAAGAAACCTTTGTAGCCTTTGAAGTATCACATAGCAACAAGTCAATAAAAGATAATAATGTTAGGATCCTGAGCTCTCTGTTGATAGTTATTCCTGGAATTTCAGAAAGGACTGGGGAGTGAGGCAATTTAATCACCTTAATAACACAACTGCAATGTGTAATTTCAAATATTCAAATGTGACATGATCTGAATTTAGGTTCCAATATTATTTTCATACACACAGCTAATCTGAGGTTTTTGGTTGTAAAAAAGAAGAAAAAAAAGGAAAAATTAAGATATTAATGTATAATGTTTAGGTTAAGGGGGTAGGGTGATTGAGTGAATTACAGTGTATCTGTCCCTGAGGAAGGTATAGGAACAATGTTCAAGGAAAACAGATGGCTGTTGGAAAAGTAGAAGAATCCAGGGAGAGGTGGGGGATGTTAGATGTCAAAGATTAGAGTGTTATAGGAAAGTATGATAACGAACAGGGAAAAGAGGGAAGTAAATGAAGTAGAGCAGGGATTACTAAGATGGGAAAGATTAAGGGGGTAGAGCGATTGCGCGGTAGAGAAGGTGAGGTATGTTGGGATGGTGTAGGAGGAAGAGCGGTGGAGGGAACTTGAGGAGGAGGTGGATGGATATCTGCAAATGTAGGAGGAGTAGGAACAGAGGGATTGGGAGTGGATGAAGGAGTGGTGTTTCCTTGGGTCATCTTTAGGAAGTTTTGGATGTCTTCAAGGGTTTTTGGAGGGGGTGTTTGGTGAAGAGGACTGAGAAACAAAGGTTTTCTTATGAGGAGGAGAAGAGGAGATAGATATCTGAAGAGCAGAAGAAGAGGAAGGCGTAGGAGAGGATGTAACAAATAAAGTGAGGAGTAGTGGTAGGTATCAGGGAAGTGGTAGAGATTGGAGTATCTGGGTTTAGACTGGAAAACAAATTTGACTGGGGGATAGGGTGAGTAGACATAGGATGGTTTAGGGTATAGATGTAGAAACATCTGTTTCTATATCTAGGACTTTTTTGGAACAAGTTGAAAGAGAAAAGCCTCGTCGTCATGCTTCTTGTCTGGCTACATGTAGAGTTGAGGCCTAATTTGAATCTGAGGAGGCACTATTGAAAGAGAAGGGGTGGCTGAGCCAAAGAGAGTACTCAAATGGTTTGCAGAGGTAGAGGCAGTAGAAGGATGAGGGCAAGAGGAAGATGGGGTAGTGTGGAGTGGGGTAGTTATGTGGGAGGGAGGACAATAAGGATGAAGAGTAGTAATAAGGGAAGAGAGGGTAGACAATGAAGAAGACAGTGCAGTAGGAGATGGAGAGGAGAATGTTGGGAGAAAGGAAGGGGTGCTTTCTGGATGTCGAGTAATAACCTGGTTGGGTGTTTTGGAATGGATAGAGTTGTCAGTAAACATCGAGGAGGGGGTATTGGTATCAGTGGTCAGACCCGTAGCCAAAGGAGGGGCAGGGGTTCGAAAACCATCAAAATCAAATTTAGATAGGCTAGTTGATGAAGGGGCCCAAGGTATGGGGGATCCCCCACCTTAGGCCTCAGTCTCCGTCTCCTAAGCCCTTCCACAACAACGAGCAAGGTATTGGGAGGGAATTAAGATGTTAAATGATCAATAATCTGAAAACTTCCATGCGAGGAGTGGTGTTAAATGGGACATTACATACACAGTGTGTATTTATGCATTCCATCAAACCAAACTAAACAATGTTATAAATTCACCCTTGAAATGATATTATATCAAGAAAATATGACATTATATTACTGCATACAGAATCCTGTTAATTTTGCAATTGTTTATATTTGGTATTTTGGATATATATTTTTTTTTTTTTTTTTTTTTACTAAATTGTAGGGACATGTGGTGCTTCATGGTGAACTCAATAATGTGACTGTTGACTGGCTAACTTAGGAATTAGTTTATGCTTTGGCAATGCCAAGGCTTTGGAATAAATGTTATTTATTTATCTATGCACAGGATTTGATTGTATTTTTAGTTGACTATGTTAAGAATTATTTATCATATATATTTTATTTATAATATGTTGTAGGGGACTACACAAAGTATTCTCTATTAGGATTTAATACATGGGTAGGTATTATTACAAATTTATGTCCAGAAGCAACAGTGAGAGTAAAAGTGTATGTATGTGCTTAGTCTCTCCCTTTCTTGAACCTATTATATAAAATGCTTAAACCTGCTTGCTCTAGCCAGTTTGCCTGCCCTGCCTACCTTCTTCAGTATGTGTAGATATGCATGTTATTGGACTAGGTGTAGTGATTGCAGTTTTTCTTTATACTTTTATATTAAATGTGACCATCAAGAAACAGGAACCAAGAACTCAGTGACATAGTGTTTGCTTCATTAAATACATCTTTCATTCCAGCACATCTCGTGTGCATTCACTGATGATCATAGTAGGCAGTTTCCTAATGACTGGAAGATCCAAATATGCAAAATATACTTTACAATAAAAAGTATAATAACCTTTATTCATAATATTGCTGATTATATTTTAGTCTCCGAAGAAAATGGGGACAGAAAAATGTTTCATCCATTTACAACAGAAATTATACTTGAAAATTGGTATTTCATTATACTTATCACATTTAAAGTGTTGAGATGCTCTTTTTGTCATGACTTGCATTTTTTCAGTTAATCCGATGCCTGTGGGCTAGAACTGATCTGTTGAAAACAAAAATTTGGTATTAGGCAATTATTGCAATTGTTTTCATGCCCTATTTTCAACAATTAGATCTAGGTTTGTAGATCCGATACTGATATGTAAAATGATAAGGCCTTTGTGCTATTTTTTGTCCAAATTCTTACACTAGAATCCACCCACCATGGTTCAAAGTCCACGTGATAATATAAATGCCAAAACTGTGATTCGAAAGGTAGCTAATCTTGGCATAACATAGAAGCCACATGGAGGTAAATTTTATTTTTATTTATTGAAAATTTTGTGCCACATAATCACCTAAGGCCATTAGCAGCATGTGCAAAATATACCAATAGGGCAACGCCAGATAACAAAAGGTCATTAAGTATTGTGGCAAAAAGTTTTAAAATAAGGGAACAATTAGGAAAAAATATGTTAGATGTCAAAGGATGTAGAACACTCTTGGTTAGTATGGTAGCAAAAAGGGTTAAAGAGGAAATAGCAAACGGAGTACAAAGACCATTCAAGGTCTGACAAAGCCAATCTTTCATCCATCCAGCATGGCTCTCACACTGTCGGATGTGGATAAAAGGGGATGAAGAACAGAAAGGAAAATTAGGTGAGGCAAGGGTTTAGGTCCAAGATAGGGGTGATCCCACCTATTGGGCCTCAGTCAATATCTAAGCCCCCCCCCCCCCCCCCCACGATGACAAGAAGCATGGGATGAGGGGGTATGGAGGCAAAGGGTTATATTTTAAGAATGTAGTGTTTGGCATATTTTTTTGTGTGAGAAATAGCTGATACCTAGATATTTCAATTAAAGAAGATCAAATTTTGTTTGCTAGAGCCAAAGGAACATGCATCCAGAAAGGATAAAACAAAAATGGCAAGTGCTACTTTTATTTCTTATGAAACTAATCTTTAATTTTTTTTTTTTTTCTATTAAACTTGCCAGATCTGAATGAGAGTATCACAAAATAACAAATGTATGATTTGAAAATTCTGGTTCAGTCAGATTAATGTGCATCTAGCATCTGTGCTTTGTACCTAACAAAATAGCTTCCATTTGAAGAAACAGTCCCTTGAACATCTGAAGTAGGTATTTTCACAAAGTTTAACTTGATTTTATTCTTGATTCCCCCCCTCTGGTCTTATTCATATCATAATCCTGTTGAGATGAGTTTTCTGAGAACAACTCAGCAGAGAATATAAAATATAAAATATAAAATATATCATCATCAAAAGTTGTAAAATACCCTCCCTCCCTTGCCTATCACATCAGTCTGTGCAACAGGTTACATGAGGTAGGATGGTAGGCGGGGAAGGGTCAAGGAGGAGGGGCAGTCTGGTGAGATCTCACTCACAGTGCATTGTACCATATAAATTTGCTACCTCATTGTCACTTCATGAATGGAAATTTGGATTACATAATTGATAGCAAATATTAAGGTAACATTAATACATTTTGTAACAATCCAGGTGTTTTACGTTTTACTTGTGGTCTTGAAACAAGCAGTCAATCAAGCATGCATTTGCATGTTCAGCCAAAAACTACCACTCTCTCAGGTTGGCAGTATTGTTCCTGGACTGCCCTTGACAGAGGAGGTAAGGGCTCAGAAACTTTTGGTCATGAAAGTATGGAATTTTGTATTAAAAACATATGTTGAGCATACTTGGCATCAACCTTGAACAGTAATCTGGGACGTGAATGTCTTCCTGTAAAGAGAAAAAAATCTGGAGAATTAAGATTCTCTTAAACATGTTTGAAGTACTTACATTACAGTAGGAGCTCTATCTTTTTATTGTATATTAAATATTTGACTTCTTGAAAGGAAAACTGCCAGTAGTAATAACATTTAGTGTAGTAACAGTAAATATAGCACACACCATCAGTCAACAAACAGGCACAGATGAAATTAACTGCCAATAAGAAAAATATTTGTCTTGGTGACATGCAGTAGCCATCTACTAACTACTATAACTTTCACATTTAAGTATTTTCTGTGACTAGATTATGAAACTTTAATTGCAGATTTTACTCATTTAACTGTTTGTACTTGGGATAGGCTTAAACTATTAAATGACTATTTTTAACTTTTCTTGTTGGACAGACCAAAAGAAATGAAAAAGGGAAAAAAAGGAAGGGTGCTGGCTTAGCCTTGTCTCAACAATCGGGCATGTCCATCAGGCAGGAGTGGTAAAGTCGAAAAAACAATAGAAAGTGGTTGATCAGCACTCAAATTACCTCCTGCTAGTTGTGTTTAGCCACTCGTCGACTCTGCCATGCCAAAAATATTTGACTAGTGAACACAAGCCTGATTGTGTAGTTGTGGCAAATAGTAAGTTATACAGTGATTTAAGATAAGTGTGTACTGTGATAAAAAAAAGGGAATGATTTCTTTAAGCTGAAATTGTTTATAGAGGGTTACTTACCTATGGATTTTGGTAAAGCTTCTCAAAATTAGCTTTAAATTGATAAGCACTCAAGAAAAACTTGTACCCTAGAGACAAGCAAAATGTTTACTTCTTCTGCAGTCTTACATATAACAATGCAATTTGTTATGTAAACATTCAATCTCTTAAAGCAAGCCATTAAAAGCTGTTGAAAGAACATACAGAATTAGCTTATAAAGCCAGGAAAAGAGATATATACATTAAGGTTAATAATAATAATTTGTTTTATACTGTTCTTTAATCAATTCAGCAATCTGAAAATTGAGATCTTTAGATATTAAAATACACTATAACTTAATATATTAAGCAAACTTATAAACAACAAACATTCACTGAATGATTTTCAATGAAAAAATACTGTATATAGATTAAAAAAAGTTCAAGTATCTACATAAATTATCCAAGTTAACTCAACTTGTGACAAAACAATATAATTAAACTAATACACTGTCTACTTGTTACAAAGTCAAGAAACAGATGCTCTGCTTTGCACTATAAAAAGACTGCTGCTGGGCCATGGCATGCTCGTTAAGTTAATATTTACAACAATGTGAATGCCCACCAAAGCACCCTTTACCTTCTCATAACATCTATAAGATTATGGGCAAGCCACAGAGACAGCAACAATGCAGACTTGTTTTAAAATCAAAACTTGTCACTGGTTCTTAAAAATGGTCACTTTTTTTTTTTCTTTTTACAATTAAAATCTGCATTTTGCCATTTTAGCTAAACCCAAACCTATGCTGCGAGTTCATATGCATATTAAGTACATATAATACTTCACTCTAATCTCGCCTGGATGACATATTTCAGGGGGAAAAAAAAGTAGTTTGTAAAACACTTTACAAAGAATGCTATGTACTGACATTCATCAGTAACAACTGTCATGTAAGAAAGACTAAGTAACTACACACATTGAATTCTTATACATATATCAATTTATGCCTTAGGACACTCCTGTACCTTCATAACAAAATAAATGAGACAAAAAAAAAAAGGCTCATCACAATGGTATAACCATCGTGACAAAACACTACAATCTACAAAACTAGACACAGCACCCCTACCTAATGACTGTTTTCTCCTTAGATGTTAAATCTAGTAGTTGTAATACAATACCTTCTGTTCCTCCACCTTTGAGGTTATTTCTGTGCTTCCAATAATTAGGAACTGTAACCTTTTAATTCCATCATGAATATAATTTTCTAGTCTTGTTTCTTCTTAGTTCACAGGAAATACGTAAGAATTGTACAGATACAACTTTCATTTCTCTTTGATAATCAGAATCACCGGGAAAAATTCAGGTATGTGTTTGTATGTATCCCCTGCCCAAATTTTGTTTTATTTATTTGTTGTAAAGATTGCTTGCATAGTTCTAAATTCCACTGTATGATTTTATTCAAATTATTTTGATAAAAAAAGAAAAAAATGTTAAAGATAAAATAAACAAAAATAATTTTATGCCCATTTAGTTCTAATATGTCTCAAAAATATTGTCAGCAAATTTACTGATTAGGTCGATGTTGTTGTTGTGATTGTGGGTGGTATTGTCTTGGGTCAGGCTGCGGCATCATGTAAGAAGTGGCTGGAAAAATAGAGTGGGGATAGGGAATCAGGTTTGCCATGGCCATCTGCGGAGGAGTTGGCATCATGTTAGTTGATAATGACTGCGAGTGTGCTTGCTGTGGCGGTCCAGAGGAATTCTCACTTGACTGGTCCCCTCCAGAATGCTGTGACAGGGGATGCGGAGATTTCTGAGCTACATTGGAATCTGAGGAATTTGGTGGAGGAAAGGGTCTATGGCCATGCCTGATTTGATCTCCACTGTTTTGGTATCCTCCTTGTTCAGAACTCCCACTCCCACTTTCTCTCTGATTGACATTGTCCTGCCCTACCCTATTTGGTCCCATCCCCAGATCTTGTCCTAACCTGTCCTGTCCTACTCCCCCTTCTTGTCCTATTCTGTCTTGGCCAAGCCCTCTATCTGGGCCCTCCCCATGTTCACGACTTAAAGGTGGATTATCTTGGCGCTCTTCTTTAATCAACTGTTTTGCCTGTTGAAGAACAATCCTGGGATCAGGCACATCTTTATGGCACTTCATATGAGAAATGA